TCTTGTCATTCAGAGGGTTTGAATTCACCTCATTCTAAATCAAAAATGAAAGAAGGAAATGCAAAGCTTAACTATATACAGTTCCCTGAATACAAAGCTTTTACATTAGTGCTATCATTGACTGTGTTAGTTCTGTAAATAAACTAAGCATCAGTAAGCATGTCGAGTGCCAATGTGCACTTTCTCTAAGCAATGGTTCACACATTGGGCAACACTGGACCTTTCATTCAGTCACTCAGATTTCTAAGAATTGCCAAAGAATCCTGTGATATCTAACCTGAGGATATCAGACCTGGTCCAGTAGGAGGGTGGGGAAGGGAGGAGAGTAAAGATGAATGGGAAGAAGGAGGAGGTGAGGGGAAGGAAGAATAGGAGGAGGAGAAGACACCATTGGATGTAGGTACAGAAGTAGGTCATTGGGCCCATGGAGTCTGCCATTTGATGAGGTAATGTCTGATCTGATAATCCTGAATTCCAATGTTCCTGTCTTATCCTCATAATCATTGATCCCCTTAGTGATTAGAAATATATCTCTCAGTCTTGAATATGCTTAACAAACCAGTAGCTACAGCATTCTTTGGTAAAGAATTCCACAGGTTCACTATCTCTGAGAGAAATAATTTCTCCTCATCTCTATTTTAAATGGCTGATCTCTTACTTTGAGATTATGCCCTCTGATCCTAAACTCTGCCACAGATGGAAACAACTCATCAGCATCTGCCCTGTGAAGCTCCCTAATAATCTTAAGTGTTTCAGTAAAGCCTCTCATCCTTTTAAACTCCAATGAGTAAAAGTTCAATCTGCTCCTTAGACAATTCCCCAATACCCATAACCAACCTAATGAACCTTATCTGGACTGCCTCCAATGCCAGTTAACCTTTCCTAAGATAAGGAACAGTATTCCTTAGCTTACCTGGACTTCCCACGTAGATGCGATGGTCAAGATGGTACAACAACGCCTCTTCTTCTTTGGCATGTCCATAAGGACCCTCACCAACTTCTACAGATGCACCATTGAAAGCATACTGTCCGGGTGCCTAATGGCCTGGTATGGCAACTGCTCTGCCCAGGTACATAAGAAACTATGGAAGGTGGTGTGCACAGCCCAGGCCATCACAGAAGCCAACCTTCCATCCATGGACTTTATTTACACAGCTCGCTGCTGCGGAAAGGCTGCCAACATCATCAAAGACCCATCGGACTCTGGTAATGATCTCCTACAACCTCTTCCATCAGGCCAAAGATACAGGAGCCTGAACACATGCACAAGCAGGTTCAGGAACAGCTTCTTCCCAGCCGTTATTAGACTAATGAATGGACTCTCTAGCCTCAAATAACACTGATCTTGCTAATGTTGATTTGAATAGTGCATGCCCCATGCAATGTAACCTGAATGCCTCTGTCTAAGTCTTTTTAATCTGTACATCCTTTGATGATGATTATCTTCCTGTACTGCTCGTAAAAAAAGCTTTTCACTGTATTTTGGTACACGTGACAATAAATAAATCAATCAATCAATCCAAGCATGGTCTGATTAGAGTCTTGAATACTTTTGTATTCCATTCACTTTGAAATTTGAACTTTCCCTTTGCCTTCCCTATTACTTACAAGACATACATGCTACATTTTTGTGATTCATGTACAAAGACCCCCAAATCCCACAGACCTGCAGCTTTCTGCAGTCTTTTTCATTCTTCAGACTGAGATGAGGAAAGTTTATTTACTCAAAACGTTGTGAACCTATGGAGTTCTCTACCACAGATGGCTGTGGAAGGCAAGATACTGAGAATATTCAAGAAAGAGAAAGATGCCTCTTTTATCTTAAAGATATTTTAACGGGGAGAAAGTGGGAATATAGCATCTAAAAAGAACATAAACTATATTCATATTCAATGGCAGAGCAGGCTCAACAGGCCAAATAGCCTCCTTCTGCTCCAAGTTTTGATTGAAATAATATTCAGTTCTTTTTTTTCCAAAGTGCATAACTCCACATTTTCCCACATTATTTTCCATCTGCCAAGTTTTTGCCAAGTCCTTTAATCTGTCTATATCCCTCTGTACTGTCATTGTTGTCATCCTGCTTATATTGTCATATACAAACATGGAGATAATGCATTGTCTCCCGTCATTCAAGTCATTAGTATATTTGTGGCCCCAGCACCGATCCCTTTGGCACTCCACAACTTACAGGTTGCCATCCCGAAAATGCCCCCTTTAGCCCAACTGTATATTCTATTAGTTAGCCAACACTCTCGCCATGCTAATACCCCTCAATACCTGATGGGTTCTTATTAAGTCGTTTTATGTGTGATACTTTAGAGGAAGGTGGAAGAGGAAGGGGAAGAGGGGAGCGGAGAAGCGGGAAAGGAGGGAGGATGGATAGATGGATGGAGGGGAGGAGGTAAGAAGGGGACCAGGGGAAAAAGGGGCAGATGGGTGGAGGGAGTGGTTGAGAGGAGAAAAAAATGGCTGGGAGGATGAGGAATGAGGGGAGAACTGCAGAGTAAGAGAGAGGGACGGGAAGAGGGAGAGGAATTGGAAAGACAGAGAGTGGGCAGGTGATACAAGGGTGAGAAAGAGTGGGTTGAAAGAGGATAGGGATGAGGGGGAAAGGGAGAGGTGCGGTATGAGGGGTTTAGGGATGGGTGATGGTGGAAGAAATGGAAGGGTGGGGAGGAGGAGTCAGGGTGGGATGGAGGGTAGGGAAGAAGAGGAAGAATAGGGATGGAGGGGAAGAGGGTGTGTAGAGGAAGGGGTTGAGGAGAGGAAGAGGAAAGTAATGGGGAAGAGAGATAAAAGAAGTGCAGAAAGAGTAGGATGAGGAGGAAGAAGGGAAAAAGGCAAAAGGGAGAGGGTAGGCAAGTGAATTTCTAAGTGAGGGAAAGAGGGAAGTGGGGAGGGTATAAGGAGAAGAAATTTGTAGAAGGAAGAATGAGTTAGAGGGGAAGGAAAGAACTGAGAATGAAGAAGGAAGCATGTGCTAGGGTTCAAACAGGGTTGGGAGGAAATGGGGAGAAAGTGGTGGGGTAGAGTGCAGTGGAGTGGGAAGAGGTAAGAGTGGAGCAGTTGTGATGGGGCAGAGGTGGTGGAATGGAGAGTTGGGTGGTGGTGGGACTGTGAGGTGTGGCAATGTGGTCGGAATAGGAAGGGAATGAGAGAAGGGATATGGGACAGTGGAATTGAAATGGGGCAAGAGTGGCAAGGACAGTGGATTGCAGAAGGTGATGTTTAGGAAAGGGGCATGTAGGTATAAGGTGGCAGAGGGGTTGGAAATAGAATTGCCGAGAAGGGGTAGGGGACAAGATATGGGGAAGGAACAATGCTTGAGGGGATGATATAGGATGTTGTGTGTATATGGCATGGATTTGGGGGCAGTGCAAGGGGAGTCAGGATGGGGTTACAGTTGAAGTGGGTCAATGGGGAGGGATAATGTGGGGACATGGCAGAAGTTGAGGATGGTATGGGACATTGGCAAATGAGTGGAAAGGTGAGGGATGGGCATTTGGGGAGGGGTGTGGGTCAGGGTGGAGGGGCAACAAAAGATTGCGATGGGGCAGTGCAGCATCAATAGATTGTGAGGTGGGGCAGTGGGAAGTGAGGTCAGGATTGACAAATGGGGATGAGGTGATAGTGGAGAGTTAGGATGGCATTGGGGAGTCTGGCTGGGTTAGCAGGGCAGGTCTGAGGGTGGGGAAGGGGTAAGGGGCAGTGCAGGAAGGAGTAGGAGTTATTGTGGACATTGGGCAGTGGGGATGGGTTGAGATGGGAGGTCAATGCAGTTGGAACAATGTGGTATAGGGAGGTGGGTATGGTATTACGGGGATGGTATGGAGTCAGGCTGGGTATGGGGCAGTGGAAAAATGGTGAGGGGGGAACTGGGCAATAACAAGGAGTCAATGGATAAGGGGTGGGGAGACAATGGGGGAAGGCCCGAGGTGTCAGGATGGGGGTGACGCAGTGGTGATGTATTGTAGGGCAGTCAGGGCATGATAATTTGGAGAGAGGGTGAGTCAGTGGGTTTTGTTGGGAGGAGTGAGGTTCAGATTTTGGAAGGGGCAGCGGTAGGATGTTAGATTGGTCTGGATCAGTGGTGTAGGGTGAAGTGGGTGAGGGACAGTGGGAAGTCAGGGGGGGACAGGGGTGTTGTGTGGAAGGCGCCGACTTCAGTCTTGGGGTGAGGAGAGGCCAAACGTTGGAAGAGAGAGGGTCATCAGGGTGGGACTGTGGGGGAGGGCTGGGCAGAGGGGAAAGCTCAATTTGGGAGGGACTGGGCAAAGAGTAGGGACAGTGGGGTAGTGGCAGAGAGCTAGGGGCTGGTGGACTGAAGGGAGGTGTTGGGCTGAGGGGAGGTGTTGGGCAGAGGGGAGAGGCAGTGGAGGACAGGAGGTGCTGGGTAGAGGAGGAGGGGCAGTGGGAGAGGGGCAAGGTTAAGGGGAGTGGCAGTGGCAGAGGGCTGGAAAAGAGGGTGGGGCAAAAGTGCATGGGTGGAGAGCAGGGGCAGTGGTGCAGGGAAAGGGTATTAGGGGAAGGATAGGGCAAAGGTGGACAGTGGTGGAGGGGTATGGGCTTTAGGAGAGGGGCAGTGTGGGAGGGGCTTTAAGGGAGCATCATTGGGGGGTGGGAGGGTCACTAGAGATGGGGCATTAGGACTGGGGCTATGGAGTGGTGGGGGAGTGGCAGTGGAAGATAGTCAGTGGGGACATAGAGGGACACTGGGGTAGGGCATTGGGGGAGGGGCAGTAGTAGATGGGTGGGGCATAAGGGGTGATGCTGTGGAGGGGCTGGGGGCAGAGGAGGATGGTCAGTATGGAGGAGAGGGGCACTAGGTGTGGGGCATTAGAGGAGGTGCAGTGGTGAAGGGGCGTGGCAGTAGGGAAGGGGCAGTGGTGGTGGTGGTGGGGTGGGCCATAAGAGCCGGTGCCGTGGTGGAGGAGGGGCATTGGGGGAGGGGCTGTGAGGGGGTGGGGCGTTGAAGGGGGTGGGGCCGGGAGACCGTTTTGGCTTCGGCGCCGCCGCAACAGCAGGAGGCGACGGATGGAGCGGGGAGCTTCAGGGCGGTAGCTCCCTCTCTGATACCCTCCACCCCTCCCCCAAAAGGCGGCGGGAGGTAGTGAGGCGGCAAAGTGACCGCCTCCTTTCCCCACCTCCCCGTCACCAATCCCGGGTCTATCATCAGCTTCTCACCAACCGGGGGTAAAAAAAAACACAATAATAAGAGGGGGCGGAATGGCGGCAAATATGTACAGGGTTGGAGGTAGGTGCTTGCTGGTGTTTGTTTATTGATTCAATTCGGCGGCCGGGGACGGGGATGATCAATTCGTACATTGATCAGAGGATCGCCGGCTTTTCTTACTAGTTCCAGCTGCTCTGTAAATTGTAGATTTAAAGTAATCACACCTTTCCTTAGGGGTAAAAATATAACTGGGAAAGTTCATCTTCAGGACTCACTTGGGTCGAAGATTTCTTCCTCCCTCCCGAAATAAAACTACTCTTTTAATATTTTTCAAAGTTGTTTGAAGTGGTTGTGTGACTTTTTATTCACACCAGCTTTGTTTAACGCGATGGGCAGAGAAAGTCAGTCACTCTGATCAAACACATTTCTTATCAGAGAGGAAAATGGCGAAGTGACATTTACCCTCATTGCTAGGCCTGTACCTTAAAAACCCGGGGTGCACGGCCACTGCTCTTCGTCTTTCCCTTTAGTGCGAGAACAAAAGCCATTCTTGCCTAAATAATCAACCTCTTTACTGCAGAACTAGTACGAATAAAACTATTAACCCAAAAGCGAAATCACGTTTAATTTAAGATGAAAAATGTCATCTTTTTTGATGTACAATTCTTTTCGCGTAAATAGCATGGCTGCAGCATCACCGGGCAGATAATCTGCGTTAGCTGGCACCAGTTTCTGTTAACCTGTAAGATGCCGGCCTTCTTTCCCTCCTAGGGGGACTTTGAGGCAACCTTTTATTAACAGCTCTTGTGATGTGAAGAATAATGTAACTTAGGAGAGAAACAACTGGTGTCCCAAGCACATGGGATGATGGCTAAAAACAATTTCAATGTAGCAAATATTTTTTCAATGCTTTTGTTGCATTAATAGTGGTTGAATTTGCACGATGGTGTTCAGTTTCAAATAGAATGCTTATAAATGTTTTTGCCACTTTTATCTCTCATGAAGCCACTGATGTTGGGAGTGTGGTACCATCAGTGCGGTTTACATATTCTTAATCAACCTGTTCAGAGGTGTTATTACACACCTGGAGCACGTGGCTCATTAGTACTGTTTACCTCACTCGGGTTAATGCTGTTCATATCTGAGTTTAGATAGAATCATTAAAACAGCAGTAGGCCATTCATCCCCTCAAGCTTAGTTTTTTTGCATTTGGACTATGATTGTTCTGAACATCAAATCCATTGATCTGTCTTTTCCTTGTTCCCTGTAACTAAGAACTCATTCTTGAAAATTTCATTCTACTGATTATCTTTGCCTTTTGGATTAGGGAATCCCATATTTTTCATGCATTTATTTTCAAACGAGCTCTCCTGAACAGCCAAGCTTTTATTTTAAAACTATTTCCACTACCAGAGTCAGTTGTTTTTCTCTCCCTTTCACATTTTGAACATCCTGATCAAACTATAGCTCAATACTCAACAGAATACAAGCCAATTTGTCCTCAGTTTTACACTCCGAATGCCAGTACTGTTGCTGCTGATGCACAACCTTAAAATATGGCTCCTTGTATGAGTTATGGATTGTGATATGTTAAAATATCACAATTGACAGATTTTATTAACATGCTCAATACTGAGGTGAGTTTGATTTATTGCGGAGGCTGTCAGAATCAAGTAAGTCCTCGGATGTATCTTTGTTTGAGGTCACTGGCTCAGGAAGAGGAACTCTGAGTATGTTAACTCTTCTTGGCTTGGCACTGCTGGGGCTATTTGTGGCATGGGCTCTGACTACCAGAACTGAGATCAGAAAGTAGTCTTTAACTTTTGAACTTTTGGGGAATTTAATGGAAACACTGTTCTTTGGAATGTTGCTAGAACTTTACTAGATTTCATTTTTTTTTGTTTCAGACTATGTTTACTTTGAAAACTCTTCCAGTAATCCTTACTTAATAAGAAGAATAGAAGAGCTCAATAAGGTATTTTAAATGCATGCGTAAGTTTTTCTTTGAAGGTAATGCAATCTATGTTTTCCCCTGTTTCATATTTTCTAATTTCTGTTTATTTTTTGGGTCATAGGATACTAGTAACAGAAGATATGATACCTGTTATTGAATTTTTGTTTGTTGTGATAACTTCAGAGGTCACAGAATGCATGAGAACGTTCTGGACACGGTACCCTTTTGTTTTGTAACTTTCTTTGTGGAATGGCTAGATGTCTATCATATCAGCTTTGGCTTAGTAGGAGTACTCTTGCCTTTGAACCAGGAGGTCATGAGTTGTGATGCCATTTCAGAAACATGAGCACATAATTAGAATGCAGTTTCCAGTGTAGTGAATACTGTCTTTCCCATGAAATGTCAAACTGAGGTCCTGTCTGTCTAGTCAGGTTAGAAGAAAAAGTGAGAAGTTCTCCCTGATGTTTCTTTCAAAAAAAAATCCAATTGCTTTCTCTAATGTGAAAATTATTGCAGACATCACTATGCACAGGGAGAGATTTGCCATATTGTATGTTTCTATTTGTTTTTTCTTTCAATTTGTTCTTATCCTTAACCTCCTTGGTTAACCATGGTTAGTTTATCACTTTTCTACAGTCCTCCTTCCTCACTGGGATATGTTTTGCTGAGAGTCATGGACATTCTTCAATGTCTGTCATTGTCCTGCAGCCATCTTTTCTGTTAAAAAGGTGTAGAGCTGGATGAACACAGCAGGCCAAGCAGCATCAGAGGAGCAGGAAAGCTGACGTTTCGGGCCTAGACCCTTCTTCAGAAATCTCTGAAACAATCTTTTCTGTTAAACTCCTTTCCCAGCCCAGTCCAGCCAAGTTGGCCTTCACCCCAATATAATTACATTTAAGTTTAGAACAGTTATTTTTGACCCAAGTTTCTTACTCTCAAACTTGTTGCAAAATTCTGCTATGTTATGATCTCTGTTGTCTAGGAGATCACTTTGAAATAATTTATTAAATCTGCCTCATTACACTGATCGGACCCAAAATTCCTGGTTGCGGGCATAACACGTTGTCCTAGGAAAGTGTCTTGAAGGAGAAGAGAAGCCTGAGAAGAGATTTAATTGAGGTGTTTAAAATGATGAGGAAACTGGATAATGGATAGGAAAAACTTGTTTTCTTCAGCAAACTGTCAATAACCGGGAAGCATATGGTTGAAAGTAACTGGTCAGAGGTTTAGAGAAGAGTAGAGGTGCAAGTCTTTTCAGCCGCAGGGTGACTTGCTGCTTGAAAGGGTGGTAAATGAAGAAACCATCATCTCGTTTATAAAATGTTGGGATATGCATCTGTTTAGACCAGAAAGGTCTTTTTCAGTCAACGCAAATGTGATGAACTAAATGACATCCCTTCAGTTATATAAATGTTTGTTTCTTCCATAGTGATGCTTAATCCTGGCACTTCATCAAGTTTTTTGACAGTATATTGCATCTGTTGCATCATTGCTCATCTAATATCCAGTTATGGATGAGCCTCACTTTCCTACTGATAGTTGTTAGAAACACCAAAGTTCACTGCTTATGGATTTCATCCCAAGCTCCAAAACTTCACCACTGGCTCCTGTTACTGTCCTAGCCTGAACCAGATTTTTTACAGTCTTTTTAAACAATGTGATTTTCAATCTGGCCTTCTGCCCTATGAATTCTCCTTCAGCGAGAATACCCAGTCATCTCCTTTGACTTTCAACAGCAGTTCCATCATTGACTTCCCTACCATTAACCTTACTGAGACAGATTCACATATCGCCTGACTGAATTTTGCAGCAGGAAGCTTGCTTTTTAGCTTCCTGGTGTCTGCCCACTTGCCTAGATGAGTGCACATTAAATAACACTGAGAGATTCATTGTATACAGGACCAAACCTGCTTGATGACGCTCGCTCTGCTACTTTAAAGATTCACGTTCTTTTATCAGCAATACACAATAGCAAATGTGTGTACTATATACAAATGCATTGCAGCAATTTGTTAAGCTTCATTTTATAGCACTTTCCAAGCCTGCAACCTCAAACATGACCTCTGCAAATTCTCTTTTGAGTCACATGCTATTCTATCTTTGAAAATATTTCCATTCTACCCAAAATAAGAACTCTCCTTTTAAGAAAGGACATAATTGCATTAGAGACAATCCAGGGAAGATTCACTGGACTTCTTCCTAGAATGAGGAGGTTTTCTAATGAGGAAAGATTGAACATATTCTGTATGCTTTTGAGTTTAGAAGGATGTGAAGTGATCATCTTGAGATATATAAGATCCTGAGGGGACTTGACAGGGTGGATACTGGGAAGATTCTCACTTTTTGTGCAGACTTGAATTAGGGGATAGAGTTTAAAAATAAGGAGTTTCTTATTTAAGGTAGAGATGAGGGTCACGTGTCTGTGGAACTTTCATCCTCAGACATTCTCTAGATCCCTTTATGCATCACCATTCTTTTTCCCCACTGTTGAGGCAGCCATGTATGCTCAGTGTCCTGGCAATCTCTTCTTAAATTCCTTTCCTTTTTTTTAGTACTTTATACTCCATACATACCTCCTTAGGACATTTTTCTGTTAAAGATGCAGTGCAAGTACAAGCTAGATCAGGTTTTTAGTGGTGTGGGAATAATTGGTTCATAACTGTCCGTAGGACTTGTGACGGTACTGCAACCATGTTTTGCATTTCCTTGAAGAGTTTACCATCTACTTAATTTACCAACTAGCACAAAATACAAGATGGAATATAATGCTTCGAATTGATCTTATGCTACTTGGAGGGTGAAAGTTGTGTTTGTAATATGGAGGTTGTGTAATTGGTGAACAATTAGAAAGGATGGGCTAATCAAGAGCATCCTGAACGAATTTGTAAAAGGTAATTTTAAACATAACACATGAAATAGGAGCTGAATGTCAAATTAGGAATAGGGGTCAAGATAAAGGGGAGCCAAGAGCTGAGGTGGTCTCAGATTTCTGAAAAGGCATTCATAAAGCTGTGTCTGCTCTTGAGCTTGGGCTTCAACTTTACTTTGCTGCCTGCTCCTCTTATCCCTTGATTCTTTGGGACACAAAAATCTGTCTTATCTCATTCTTTAATATTATTCCCAGAGAATAATCAAATAAGACATCCACAACCCTCTGCTTCAGAATTCCAAAGATTCACAACTCTTTGAGTAAAGGAATTTCTCAACTGCCTCAAATTATCAGCCCCGTTATCCTAAATTTGAGAGTCATTGGAAACAATCTCAACATCTACTCTATCAAGCACTTCCTAATCTTGAATGTTTCAATTAATTCATCTGTCATTCTTCCAAACACCAGAAAAGAGAAACCCAGTTTACTAAACCCCTCATCATAAGACAGCCATCTCAGACAGCCATCTCATCTCAGAGACCAATCTAATGAACCTTCAATTATATCAAAGGCAACACTGTATATCCTTCCTTTAAATATGGTCCCCAAAACTGTACATTATATGTCAGGTGTGGTCTCTCCAAAATTGTTACAAATCTTAAGGTCTGTATATTCATGTACTCCAATCCCTTGTAATAAACACAGACTATTGCTTTCCTAATTGATGTAATTACATGCCAACTTGTTTTCTTGTGCGAGTACATTTGAGCCTCTGTCAACATTTACAAATCTTGCCCCTTTTAAAAAGCATTCTGCTTTTCTTTCTTGAAGTGAGTAACCTCCATGTTGTACACTATCTGCCACCTTATTGCCACTCAATTAACTTGACTGTATTTCTTTGTATCCTCTTTGTGTCTGCCTTACAGATTGTAATTCCACTTAACTTTGTATTGTTATCAAACTGAGAGACAGTGAAAAATGTATCCTCGTCCAAGTCATGAATATAGTTTGTAAATAGCTAAGGACCTGGCAGTGACCCTTGTGCCACTATACTAGTCCGATTCTGGCAATGTGAAAATACCCAATGTATTTCAACTTTCTGCTTCCTTTCCATGAACTAATCTTCTATCCATGCTAATGTGTCAACCCCCAACTCCGTGAGCTCTTATCTTGAATGCCTTGAGAAATCTGGGGAGACTTCAGCTGTTGGTTCCCCTTACCTATTCCAATTTTGACAAACAACATGTCACTTTTTATATAATCCCATTGACTTGTTGTAATCATACTATGCTTTTTTAAAGCGCATTTTTAAGACCTTTGTCAACAATAGATTTCAGCATTTTCTGGATGATTGATATCAGGCCAAGTGGCCTCTATCTCCCTGTTTCTTTCTCTTGTTTCTTGAAAGTGATGTTATATTTGCTTATCACTAATCTGTTTGACTTACAAAATCTTAAGAAATTTTGGAAAATCATAGCTATTGCACCCACTATTTCTGTCATTGTTTCTTTAGAACCCTAAAATGTAGGCCATAAGATCCTGGAAGTTTTTGTTTTAGTCATTGAATTTCTACAGTATCTTTCGATATTGACTTAATTCCTATTCTCATATCGACCTCTATCTTGTCTTCTACTGTAAAGACAGATGAAATATTTGTTCAATGTCCCTTCCGTTTCCTCATTCTCCATAATAATTTCGCCTGTCTCTGCCAATAGACTAAAGTTTACTTCACTGTTCTATTCCTTTTTATATACTTATAAAACTCTCTCTTTTGATATTTTTTGTATTCTTGATTAGTTTACTTTGTTTTCTTTTTTTCAATTCTTTGGTGGCCTTCTGCTGCTTTTAAATTTTTCAAATTTACTACTGTTCTCTGCAACATAATAGCTTGTACTTTTAATCTAATATTTTCTTTATTCTTATTAGGAAAACACAAATAGACTATTCTTAAGACAACAAGGTGCAAGGCTGGATGAACACAGCAGGCCAAGCAGCATCATAGGAGCAGAGAGGCTGATGTTTCGGGCCTAGATATTCTTAAGAGTTTTTGTCTTTCAATGCAATGTATTTTTGTTGAACACTTTCACTTGTTTCTTTAAGCGCTTTCCACTGTTTGTTTGTTTACTGCCACACCTTTTGGTCTGTTCACGTTGCCTATATATCTTGGCCAGCTCTCCCCTCATACCTATGTAATTAGCGTTGTTTCATATTAAGATTTTTGTTTGTGATGGCATATGACATTTTCAGACGTAATGTTGAATTCACTTGTATTCCCCAGTGGAGCATTTGCTATGACATCACCAATTAACTCCTGCCACTTTACACAGTATCAGAGCTAAATTAGCTTTATTCTCAGTTGGTTCCTTAAAGTATTGCTGCAGGAAACTGTCATTAAGACATTCTAAAAACTTATCTTCTAGACCACCTTTTACAATTTGATTGTCCCAGTCTTTATGAACTTAAAGTCTGTCTACTACATTGCCTTTGTTATAACTTTGAATTTTTTTTTAATGTTATATTGAACAGTATTATGACTAGTAATGGGCCTATAAACTGCCTACAGTTTTCTGACACTTCTGATCCTAATCTCTATCCACTTGTAAATTTTCTGAGCCAAGATCTTTTCTCAGTCGTGACCTTGTGTCATTCTTTAATATCAGAGGTACCCATCCGCCTTTTCCAATTTTTTTTTGAGGAACTGAGTGAATAAGCTATAAGCCAAGGGTGATGAACCTGATGTTGTATATACAGTCTTATATTGGTGATGTGTTGCCAAATTGCAAACCAGTGTTATTTAAATAGTTTTCCCCCTTTTGTGTATATTTGGAGTGAAATTCCTGGGTTCTGACTTAATTTGAGGTAGATATTCATTAATCTTATGGTTATATATGATACCTGTATGATATTTATTAATATAATATTATATGTAATATCTTGTGATATTTATTAATCTTATTCATTAATCAATAGATAGTATTTCATGGGAACAAGTTGGGGTCTGCATGCGTGAGCAATCTCAGAATTAAGGGCTCAGAGAAACAGGGAAGAAAGAACGTGGCAATTGGTATTGAATTATCGGTGAGGTATCATTCAAAGCCTGCAACTTTACCCTGAGAACACAGCACACTCTTTGCTTCGGCCTTGGCTCAAGACCCTTCATGTAATTTTTAGAAGAAGGTTGGGTCAGGAAGACTGAGCAATAACGAGAGGTATTACACGCATATACGCATCAAAAACAGAATCGATCTGGAATACTGTGCATGGTTCTGGTAACCTTATTTTAGGAAGGATGAAATGCATTGGCAACAGTTCAGAGATGGTTAACCACACTAATACTGAGAATAGAAGGCAACAGTGGGCTAGAAATGGCAGAACTTTATGCCTCTTGCATTTGGAGATGGAAGGTGGGATGGTGAAGGGGGTGGTCTCCAGATATACCGTTCCTTCTGAGGAGGTCTTGTGTTCCTTTTGGTGCCACAAGAAGAGTTTTAAAAAAGTTTAAGTAACTGGGCCTCTAATTGCTGCTTCTTAGCTCAGCTAATAATAAAAATTGCAGTCCAAAACTTGCGCTCCAATGGGTACATATCGGTGCCAAGCCTGCATTGGTCAGTTAATGTCCTTATTGCCTATTATTTAGAGCAGGGTAAATTTTGTCATTGATTTCTTGGTGACTTTGAGTGTGAACCTGGATAATTTTAATCGCCTGTCCACTCGGGTTCTGCTAGGTGAGTAGGGTTGAAACTATCTCTCAAAAATAATGAGAGGATGCTGTCTTACTGAGGGGGAAAATTGCAAAGCATGTCAGTTCAAGTATCACTCTTGCACATTATTAGCAAGTTGGCTTAACTGGCCTGTTTTGCTTCAGTGGTTTTAAAGATGGAATATAATTGAAATGGCAGCAAGAAGAGCAATGAACCAGTTTTCTGCTTGGCAGAGAAGGTTACATTCCAAGAGACATACTAAATAACATACTAAATGTGTACACCACCTAATTTCGGCTCTTTGCTTTGCACCCATCTTCTTCAATCCTTTGGGTTGTTTTAGTACATTAAAAGTACTAAATAAATGTGGAATGTTGTGTAACGTGCATGCTTGCATGCACACTCTGTTGGAAATGTCACTTAGTCATCTATGTACTTCCAATTTTCTTATTAAATATGATATAGAAGTCTGTACCTTAAAAAGCATGATTTGATATTTTGACTTCTGTTTTTTCCAGACTCCAAGTGGCAATGTGGAAGCAAAGGTTGTCTGTTTTTACCGACGCAGAGACATTTCAAACAGTCTGATAGTACTTGCTGATAAACATGCAAGTAAGTTTAATTTAAATTTTTCTAAGACTTTTAAATGCCAAGTTTGAAACTGTCAATTAACTTTGTAGTTAATGGCCACAGATTTGTTCCAGACTTTTATTATATAATTTGAAAATGTCTTTATTATGTCAAGCAAATAGGTGTTTCTGTGCACCAATAAGATATTGCAGGACATTATATTTGTCTTGTACAACAGAATTTTGTCTGTATTAAAACCTTTTGTTTTTCAAGATTTCATTATAACGGGAGAAAGTTAAATATATGTTCGAGTACATTGTGATATGAAAAGTACTTTCTGTGAAATAAAAGATATAGTGAGTGTGAACAATTGCCCTACTACTCAGTATTACAGCACATTGCACCCTGCCACTGTATTCTTTGGAGCATTGTAGAAGCACTCCAGTACTCTAGAGCAACTGCATAAATATTATTTTGAATCGATTAGCATAACTTCTTGAAGTTGTTTTGACAAAATTTTATTTGAACACTTTTTCTTCATGTCTCCCAAAACTTGAGTTTGTTGAAGAGTGATTGCAAATCAGCATGATAATGTAAAGTTATTATAATAGTTTAGAATTTTTGGACCTAACAAGTAATTATCTTGTGGTTTGAACTTTACGACACTTCTTTGCAGAACAGCAAATTATTGATACAGTTGAAGAAGGATCTGAAACGTTAACTCTGCTTTCTCTCCACGAATGCTGGTAGACCTCCTGTGTTTTCCCAGCATTTTCTGTTTTTCTTTCTAATTTCCAACATCTGCAGTTCTTTTTCCTCTGGTTTAGCAACTTACTGATGCTCTGTTTGGACACTTATTGGCACAAAGATCCCATTGTAGATTGCTTGTTTAGTATTAATATTAAATCTTATTTTCCTCACTTTCCCTCAGGTTTTTCTTTTTTCCATCTGACTCATAAACAGTGTTCAATTAGATATGAATGTAGCGAGATTAGAAGAAAAACTTAATTTGTACTTTTGAAATTGCACTGAATTTTAACTGATGACAATAATGTTGATCTTTGCTTTTGAAATTTTTTTTTCTGCTTTGGATTATGAATGAGTCTGCATTAGCATAAATCATTATGGTTTGCCAACTTGAGTGTTGGTTAGAACGCGATTTGTTGGCTCTGGTTTTAAAGCATGAACTATTTGAATAGAACTCACCCTTTTTAAATAAGCTTAATTTTCTTATATTATCTCTCTCTGACTTCTATTGATCCTAAGTCTTACTCTTGCTGAATCTGTAGCATCAATAGTTCTGAGTCAGTTAGGGAAATAAATGTATGTTGCTTTTTGACCACATTTGACTTAGCTTGCATGCACTTTAGTAGATAAGTTCATTTGGTAAATGAATGTATGATTTAATTCCTACCTACCATTCCTGTGGTTGAACAAAGCCAATCTGTATGAAACAATGGGGTGCAGAATATCATTTGAGTTTGTACCTTGATACAGACTATTGCACTTACGCATAATGTTTGTTAAATAAGGTTTTATGAGTACATAAAGAGCAACTGTATGAATATTGTAGCAGCATTCCAGTTTATTTTTAAACCAAAACTAGTTCATTTGCCATTTTGTATCAGAGTTTATAAAGAACATAATCTTGAAACCCCTGAGTTGCCTTTATGTTGCTGCCTACTTTGGCCCTGAACTTGGGAGAGTAGCAACAAAATCATACATCTCCTACTCCCCGTCTACTCCTTCACCTTTTTCTGACTAAGTTACAGACAGTTAACTTCCTTTCCTATTCCACAAAAACTAAAGCAGACACACTTGTAGGCATAGTATTTATATCAGTCAGAGACTGTGAACTCTGTGGCTAATAACTCTCAGTACCTGACTCTCCAGAGCATTTCCACTGTTTACTAGGTACAGTGAAGACTGTAATGAAATACTGTACACTTAAGGGAGTCAATGGCCCAGTGGTTTTGTCTTTAGATTATGATTCCAGATCGCCTGATAATGTTCTGGGGACATTGGTTTGAATCTTGTAATGGCAGATGGAATTTGAATTTGGTTTAAAAATATCTTGAACTAAGAGACCATCAAATCATTTTCGATTTTCAGGAAAAGCTCATCTGGTTCACTTTGCGGTCCTTTAGGGAAGGAAATTGCCATCCTTACCTGGTTTGACCTTCATGTAACTCCAGACCAACAACAATAGCACTCTTCAAAATTAAACGGCCAATAAATGCTGGCCTAGCCAGCAATGCTCACATCCCTTGAATGAATAAAAAAAAAATGCTTTCTTGGATGTGAGTGCGGCTCCAACAATAGTCAAATATTAGCACAATCCAGGAGAAGGCAGTTCACTTGATCACTACCTCGCCCACTACCGTAAACATTCATACCCACCACTACTGATACAGTGGTAGGAGGGTATATCATCTGCAAAATGCACTGCAGCAACTTAACAGCATCTTACAGATGACTAATCTTGTCTAGAGGGCATGGGCATCAGCTCCATGGGAATGCTGCTGCCTACAAGTACTCCTGCAAGCCCCTCACCGTTCTGATTTAGCAATATAATTCTAATCTGGGATTTTGAATAGTTGACAGTGAAAGTACTCCTGTCCTTATTGGAGTGTAGAATTATCTACATCAGAGACTGTAACAGTTCAAGACGGAGCTCACCACCATCACCTAGATGGCTACAATAATGTGAGAAATACTGAACTTGTCAATGATGCTGACAAAAGATCATTTAAAAAATAAGTTATCTGAAATTGTTGACCATTCTTCATCTCCAACTATGGTTTCTGTCTGCTTCAAGCTTGCTGTCATCAATCTCCTCCTCAAAAACAACTTTTGACCCTGTTTTGCTTGCAGACTCCTGTTCAACTCCAGTCTCCTGTTTCTTTTCCAAAGCTGAATGTGCTGGCATTACCCTAAATATCTGCCCACCTTTGCTGGAACTCCAATAAAAGCAAAATATTGCGGGTGCTAGAAAAACCTGCAGGTCTGGCAGCATCTGTGCAACAAAAAACAAGAGTCAGTGTTTTTTGTTAATTTTGGGTAGTTATGAATACGGGCCATTGGACTCAAAAATTAGGAGAGTCTGTTTGTCGACCCATAACCCTCATGCTTGATGGCCTACGTTACCTTCCAAAATTCTGATCCCTCTTCCAAATCACTGTATGGTCTCACCTCTTGTTATCTCTGTCGGTCCAGCTCCATTACAGTTCAAGATCTCTGCACTTCTTTAATTTTAGTCTCTTGAACATTTGCAACTTTAATTGCTCAATGGGTGGTAATGGAGGAGGAGGTAGTCGTGTGTAGTATCTGAGCAGCGGTTTGGCTGTCGTCAGTCCTCCAGGTCAGGTACAACCCGTTGGTAAGTTACATGTATGTCAGTTGGTGTGCTGTGGAGTTGTCAGTCCAGGGGATGGGCCAATTTTTCTTGTAATGAGGCATAACAAGGAATTTTGTATGATGGAAGTGAATGGAACTGGTGATGCATGAGCAGGAGGGGAGATAAAGTGCCCCAGTGGAAGTGGAGAGTCAGAAAGGGTGGATGAGAATCTTTTGGTGAACATGATTAAGGGGGTAATGATAGTTGTAGTCCATGAGCCTCAGTGAGATGTGTGTTTGTAGTGGCAGAGTTAGATTGAGTGATGGCTGTGTGAGTGAGAGGTACCAGAAGATGTAGCAGTTAACCTTGCGAATGCAGAAGATCAATAACTTTGTTTCTCCTGAGTTTCATTCAGGACCCTACTAACTTGGGGTGCTATCTCAGTCCAGGCTGGCTTAAGCCATGGCTTGGTTCACAAGTCAGCAGGAGAAAGCATTGCCCTGCTTTCTACAGTCATGTTATCCAATGTTTCTTGGTTCCTGTGAACGACCCAAAGTGGTAACTTGTCATTCTGGGGCATTTCCTCTGGGATGACAGTCTGAAGTGCTTTGGAGCTGGGTTTTAAATATTGCATCAACAGTGTAAACATTGTAAAGTCCCTGTTTTGGTGAGTGCGTCTACCACTCTTGCTGCAGGATTCCTATAGATGGATGCTGAAGAATCAAATTGCATGATAAACGAAGTGTGGAAGACTGCTTGAGAAAAGTTAACCTGGACCACGATAGACCTCCACCATGAGCATCACTGAAAAACTCCATCCAAAAAGTTAGAAAATTCACTCCCATTGAAACTTGTAGAATTCTGAAAGGGACAGACAGAGTAGACTGGAAAGAGTTATCTTCCCTCCCCCCAGCTATGGAAAGTCTGTAACCAGGGGCCACAATCTCAGAATAAAATGCAAGGTTCAATGGAGTGTGCAAGAGGGCGTACCAGGAGCAGCACCAGGCATACCTTAAAAATAAAGTGTCAGCCTGGTGAAGCTAACAAGCAGGACTACGTGCATGCCAAACAGCATAAGTAGCAAGTGATAGAGCTGAGCAATCCCACAACTAACAGATCAGATCCAAACTCAGCAGTTTTGCCACATCCAGTTGTGAATGGTAGTGGACAGTTTAAAAACTCAGTGGAGGAGGAGGAGACTCCACAAACGTTCCAGCCTCAATGATGGAAAAGTCCAATACATCAGTGCAAAAGATAAGGCTGAAGCATTTGCATCAGTCTTCAATCAGAAGTGTTCAGTGGGTGATCCATTGTGGCCTCTTCAGTGGTCCCCAGCACTACAGATACCAGTCTTCAGCCAATTTAATACACTCCCTGTGATGCCAGAAATTGGTTGGTGACACTGGATAGAGCAAAGGCTTTGGCATCTGACAACATTCTGGCAATAGTTCTGAAGACCTGTCCTCCAGAATTTGCTGCTGTCTAGCCAAGCTCTTTCAATATAGTTACAACACTGGCATCTACCTGACAATGTGGAAAATTGCCCAGATAGGTCCTGTACTCAAAAAAAATAAAGGACAGATTCAACCCAGCCAGTTACCACGCCCATTAGTCGATTCTGAATCATCAGTAAAGTGATGGAAGGTGTCATCAACAGTGCTATCAAACAGCGCCTGCTTAGCAATAACGATCAGTGATACCCAGT